TAGATAGATAGATAGACAGACAGACAGACAGACAGACAGACAGACAGACAGACAGACAGACAGACTTTGAGATAGAGATAGAGATAGATATATAAATTGGATTAATTCCTTAAGGATAACTATTTCGTTTATTAATTATCAGCCATCTCTTGAGAATAGACCTCTCTGCCACACACATTTTTGCTTTATTTTTGACAAATTTTACAAACATATGATAGCTTATGTATCATTGAACACTAACAAGAATTGAGAGAAACAGTGTCATGAATCGCTATGAATTATGCAATATTGTATTTTTCCTTTAAATTTCACATATATTTTTCTTAAGCAGCAGTTTTTCTAATACACTTGCAGATATTTAGTAGCATGATATGTTGTGATAGATATACGGTAAATCCTCATAACCCATATGTTTAATAAAAACTAATGCATGCAGATCTAACAAAGCAACCACAAAACTCAAATTATTGTTCATAATCTTTCCTGTTAGGCCATTTTCTTTTAACATTCCTGCTAATAGAACGCCTGAAACAAAGTGCACCAGCTCGTATTATAAATGTGTCTTCGTTGGCTCATCATATGGGGAGGATTCACTTCCAGAATCTCCAGGGTGAAAAGTTCTACTTTCGGGGCCTGGCATATTGTCATAGCAAATTGGCCAATATTCTTTTTTCACGGGAATTGGCTAGACATCTACAAGGTGAGCTGAAAGTTTACATTGTTTTTAATTGGCAATGTTATTTAGATGCAAAAACTAATGGAAAAATTGTAAGTAAGACCTTTTTAAAAAAAATTCCAGTTGTTGCTACCAATATTTAAAATAGAATGGCAAAAATTGCCCGGGATTAATCTGGATACCGTGACCACCTCCTGCAACATACCTCCCAGCACCCAATAAGATCGCACAGGGTGGGTCTCCTCTGAGTACCGTCGACTACACAGTATCGTCTGGCGGCTCCTTGGGAGAGAGCCTTCTCTGTAGCTGCCCCGGCCCTTTGGAACGATCTACCCCCTGAGATCCGGACTCTCCCTACTCTCTCGGCCTTCCGTAAGTCTGTTAAGACCTGGCTGTTCCGGCAGGCCTGGGGCTATTGATCTAGATTGACCTTC